CACTAGGAAGGAGGACACTAGGAAGGAGGACACTAGGAAGGAGGAAAGTCTTTGGGTCATGATGGAAGTTCTGACTATTTGGACCCAGCTGCAGTTTTTCTTCTCTAGCTGTGATCCAGAGTTTATTGTCTGACCCAGAACTGCAGGTTTCTGTTATCAGAACACATTTAATGGACCCGGTCTGAGAAGACCAAAACCTATTCCAGCTTCTGATGCAGGATGGGTGTTTTCACCTACAGGGGGCGATGCTGAGCAGGAGCTCCATTGCTCACTTCATTCCCCTGCAGAGGGAAGCTGAACTTCTCCAACCTGAGAGGTTTTCCATCTGAGGAGGCTTCCAGCTTCAGTTAATGAGGTTAAACCTGGAGGCAGGCCGTCAGGCTCTGGCTCCGCCCACTCTGACAGCTCTAACGAGCTTGTTAACGAGCTGCTGCCTGGGGTCACATTAACCAGCTAATCAGATCCATCAGGTTAATTTCTGACTCCTTACCCTCAGACTGCTGCTAACACTGATGCAGGACAAACAGAACCCTGATGGGTTCTGACCTGCAGCTGGACCAGGAGAGCTGCAGGTTTTCTTCATCTGCAGCCATGATGATGATGATGATGATGAGGAGGCTGGGTTCCTTTAAAGGCGGGCCAGCAGCAGGAGGCCTGGTCCAACAGCGCCTGTATTTTTGGAGCGAGCGTCTAAAATAAGCGGCGGAGCAGCTGAGCGCCGCCCGACCCGCTGCAGATGTTTCCTCATAAAGGATCAGAACTGTGACCGCTCTCCTCGCTCCAAACCACAGGCCAGACCTCCCTAACCTCCAGAACCACGGCTCCCTCAGCCCACAGGACTCGGAACCAGGCTGCGTTCCAGGCTGGATTTATCAGCAGCTGCTGGACGCCTGTTCTATCAATAGAAGAGCTGCTGGTTTTACAGCCTCAGCTCAGTTTTTACCTCCACACCCGACCCGACCATCAGAACTCTGACCCACTGAAGGGATTCTAATGTTTCTACAGAACGTCCCTGTAAAGCTAAATCCTGGTCAGGCAGAACCAACAGAACCTTTCAATGAATCCCATCAAACTACCCAGAGGATGACTGATAGCGCCACCTACAGGCCGGTTCTACTCAGAGAAGAACCAGCTGAACTGCATCAGACCAACATGGATCAGAACCTTATCTTTAGGTTCTAAGGAGCAGTTCTGGTTCTGGTTCATCTGATGACCTGTGAGGAATGTTGTGAAGTTCCTCATGGCGTCTCTGTAAACCGAAGCCCTGGAGGTCCAAACTTAGAGCGTTATGCTGGACGGCACAGAGGTCCACTGTGAAGCTGACCCGGCTGAGATAGAGAACAGAACCAGAACCAGTGATTGAATGCAGCTCTATAGGAAGCAGTTCAACATGAACGCCCCTCCAACACCGTCCTCTGGACCGGCCACAACCAGTACTGTCCCGGATCCTCCTCAGGGGGTTCTGATCATCCCGTACTGTCCCGGATCCACCTCAGGAGGTTCTGATCGTCCCGTACTGTCCCGGATCCACCTCAGGAGGTTCTGATCGTCCCTAACTGTCCCAGATCCC